CTGTAGTACAACGGGATTCATCCGCCCTCTTTTGGTGAGATCGACCTACGAATCTCTTCTTCATGCACTTTGATACGAAATGAAAGTCCCTCCAGCAATGTTAGCTCAAGAGATCTATCTAAACTCAGTTTCTCTTCGTATCTACGATGATTTTGATGTCTAGCAGCGAGATAAGGGGTAGGCGAAAGGAGGGCAGAATGAAGGTCAGGAGCCCTGCAAATGACACCTGGTACCGGTGGTGAAGATGATTACGCTTAAATACGCACATTTTTAGCGACACACTCTTATGCAACAGTGTAGGAAACGAGCACAGAATATGGTGAATAGGTAGATGAGCCATATGAAATGGGCAGCACTAAGGGTAGAATAAAAATAGAGGCGGGGATTGATGCCACAGCGGTTGAACAGAAAATTGGTCAGGGGGATTGCTTTCACTTGTCACCTGGATAAGTTGTAGCCCTGTATTAACGATAGCGCATTTTACTGATGCTGCCAACTAAAATGCAGCGAAACGTTTTAGAATGTGCCAAATCCGATGATGGAAATCATGAATACTATGACAGAGGACACACGACTTACTACATTCTATAACTTCCCTCTTATGCTCTTACCAAGTCGCAAAAACGAGGTCGAATTAATACTACAAAGTTATCCTTTTTTATCTCCATGTGATATTGGAAAATAGCTGGGTAAAGTTTTGCGCACCGTCATTTTCCCAGTCCTACTAGATGTGCTGATAATACTTTGGCGAGTTTGAAGCTGTATTCCATCCTGGATAAGAACACATTTCGGTAAGGCATGACTTTGTGAAATTCAATGGAAGAGTCAGCTCTACTCATATCATTGTTGGAATATTCAACTATCACTCCCATTATTACCCTAAACAAAATAGGAATTCACCGTATTTTTAAGGAGAAATTGAGATAGGCAGACAGCAAGCATACTTTACTTTTAAAACGTCTACAAGACTGCAGATTTACATTCCTTACTAAATACCAATTCAGCTTTGCTGGGGGTTGAAAGTTGTAGACTTCTTCATAACCTTAGCTTCTTAAGGATATTGTCATTTAGCTAACATGACCCAATAATTTATGGATTTGACACATTTTTCCGTTATACTTCTTCATGCATCGATTTTCTTATTCCCTCCGCTCCTTTAGATTTGCAAAGCGTGATTTGGACATGAATGAGATCATATACGAATAGTTAGTGTGCAACCACCTAGAGCGTAAGCAGTTACACTTTAGTAGTAGGCTAATATAAAGTCATGCATTTCTTTAGGAATCTGAACCAGCAATACGAATCCGATATTTTGTATAACTGGGACGCTGAGAAATCATCTTTGTGGCTTCGACATAGAGTTTTTCTATGTCTTCGGAGGTACTTAATTCATCTGTTGTTCTCCATATTGCCTTTCGACTGATTGAAGCATAAGCTTTTTCGTTAGGTGGTTGATTAGACGAACTTATAGGCTTAGAAAGTGCTTGAGAATTTGGGAGACCTGGACCGAGCATCAATTCTTGAGGATGACTATCAAAGATAGCACTTGGATCGGTATGCCTCGACAGGGTAGAAGTTCTGTTATCACAATCAATATCTTTATCTATATCAATATTCCCATGTTTTTTAGATTTCCTCCCGACACTAAGAAGAACTTCGTTGACTTCTATTGGGGTTGCACTGAAAGATCCTCGGCCCTTTTGCTCATGTTTTGTTTTCTCATCAGTAAGAGCAGGAATGGCTGGGCTATGTTAACAGGAATACGAGAATAATAGAAAAATGATTTAAAAATCATATTATGCAGCATTAAATGAAAAAGTTAGAAGATAAGCATTATGGTAAATAAACTAGCGCTAAGATAGGGTACTAAATTAGTTCATAATTGTAAAAAAGATTGAGAATGTGTAGAAACTCATAAATCAAAAGTGACAATTAAATTATTTATTCACTTGAGTTTGAATATTGATGAATATGGATGTTTTTTTTGAATATATCATACTAAAGCAAGTAATCGCAATGGGGAGACGTAGAGAAGATATTTGCAAACTAAAGTAAGCTTTTTTTAGACTCACTCCTTCACTCTAGAGTTTGTACTCCGGATTCTAACTTTATATAAAACTGAATCAGTTCTACCTCATTTTAATATGAAAGCTTATTCATGACTGCCGAACTCTCTCTAATCTTGAGAAAATAAAATCAAATTTATATGACTACAAACATCTGGTACTATAGCTTTCCTGTGATAAACACATTATTTAAAGCTATCTGAACATCCAGCTAGGTACGTTAATGCATGCAGGCCAATGTAGGCTGTAGTTAATCAGATAAGGAATACTAATGTGATGGCAGCCAGAGGCTTATAAACTATCTTTCCTGCCTCGGCTCTAACTTGCTTTAGGGGAGCCTAAGACGCTTTTACGAGCCCCTCCGGTAATGGTCATTGATGTAGTTTGACTGAACCTAGTATTTTGAAGATATTTTGGCTTCTATCTTCATATGAATTCGATCAAAAGAATAGAGTTTTGAAGCAAAGTCACAATCGGTAGAGCTCGGTACACTCAGCTCACGAGCCTCTAGATAGTTAAAGCCCCAAAACTACTTTTGTCCACACTTCATTTGCAGAAGCTCTACATTTATTCCCATGAGGATTTATATGAGGGCTCCATCTAAAAAAGTGACAGCAGGCCCTCGTTTTATTATCCTCAAGGGGTGATTTGCTCTGAACTATGTTTGTTAAGTATATATTTTTGCCTCATTACATATATTCATTCATTTATTTTCCCTTCCGAATAGACTAACATAAACCCTCTTTGTGAGTACTTTAAAAAATCCCTCATTCTTGAAAAGATATATCCATATATTTTTTAGGTCGTGGTATAAGATATAGAAAATATTCATCAAAGTCGATAAACTATTCTTTAACCTAGGGTTGAAATGCCATTTTTCCCAAAAAGTCACATCAATACATCTATATTTATAGCTTCATTTAAAGTTATTATACCTTTAGGAGGATATGGATGGTGGAAGAGATGTAAATCTATAAATTATTTATAAACTCGAAAACAACTCCAACTATATGCAGTGGAAGTCAATAAACAGTGGCCAAGTATAATGCCCACTATTACTGACATGCATGAAAAAATTATGTTGCATAGTAACAAAAGTTCGAAGAAATGATAAAGCATTGATAGGTAATGTTATTTCTGCATAAGCTTGATTTAGGCAACATTTTATGATTGTTTGTATCAACACTGTCTTCAAAATTTTAGAGGGAGATAACAATGTATGTATGAGACCTTTGTTGAAAAAAACTCGGATATGCTTATGTTTACCAGTCTTTTTCGAGAAAATATCGTCAAGTTGAGCTGATGCTAATAACTCTTTCCGAGATTGACCACTATTTGCTAAGTGAAGCTTTTTTAATAGTTTTCTGTTAAAATTGTAAAGATATATTTTTTAGCATAGGTTTTTTAACTCTATTTAAGGGCCATTTCTCCTAATTACTATATTAAGTTTTTGCCTACAAAAAGTGAGAGACACTAAAGCAATTCATTTTGGTTTCCGTTTTGAACATTACTGGATATCAGATAGGTGCTAAAACCCATATGAGAACCTTTTTTCCTGTCTAAGTTAATGTAATATCCTTTGCAAAGTCCAGCCTTGCTTTTTCATCTCCCCTAATTTGTCTAACTTTTAGTTTCTAGCCGGTTATATACAATAAAATTTCATGTTAATTTGGTAGAATTCTATATACTCATTAACATTGCGAAGCATAAAACTTAAAACTAAATGAATGGCATTCTATACGTTATACTACTAACTATTAATATTGATTTGAATGACAAGTTCTTTGACATATTAAAACTTTAGGATCTGCCTTGAATGAAACTACACACCCGGAATTTCATTAATTCGCTTTCTAGCCCATGGTTAGAGAGAAAAGTGTTTATAGGCTAGGTTCCTCTTAAGTTTATAATACTATGGAGCTGGAGCGGATGTTATATACGCAGATAAAAGGTTTTACATAATCCAGAAAAGGACACTAATCTGCTATTCGAATAGAGGCAGTTACCTAGACCTGGCAG